GTGTCCCTTAAGTCCGACCTTGTTTGCACTATTTATCGAACCTCTGGCTCAGGCTATTAGAGAAGACCAGGACATAAAAGGAATTTAGATTAAAGGCACTGAGTTTAAGACTTGCCTTTATGCAGATGACATTGATCACTCTTTCGCAGCCAGATTTGAGTTTACAAAAACTAATGTCCTCCTTGAAAACGTTTGGTTATTACTCGGGTTATAAATTAAACATTCATAAAACACTAGTTATTTCATTTAAATATATCTACCCTCACATATATATGTATATACCCTCACTACAAATAAATAACTTTTGCAATTTTAAATGGAAGAATAACATCATTTGATATTTAGGAATAAAAATTCCAAAGGATTTATCCACCATCTACGCGACTAATTATCTACCAATTACCAAAGAGAAGAAGACAGACTTAAATAAATGGGGTTTACTACCGCTGGACTTACAGTGGCTCTTGAAAGGTATCACAACGTACTGTCTTATTTCTGATAAAGGGAGACTGGACTGTTTTCAAAGACTTAAAGTCAACTACGACTTAGAAAGACTTCTTCAGATACCTTCAAGTTAGAGCTCATTTTATCTGTGATATAAAAACAACAGAGGAAGTTAACATTTTGACTGACACATACAAATCTAAACTAAACCGGAAATTGATTACCCGAACCTACTCCTGTTTACAATCATTCAATGGCTTTTCCACTCTTTACGTTAAATCCAACTGGGAAAAAGAAGCAAAAATAACCATTTCAGAAGATGATTGGCAAAACATTTGTAAAACTCAAATGAGCACTTCCAGTCCTGGTTTTTGGAGGGAATTGGAAGAATATAATTCGATTTTTTATCGCCCCAAAAATTAAACAGCTTCAGAAAGGTCAGTCAAGTTATGGATGGTGCTGGAGAGAGTGTGGAAACGCTCAGGCGAATCATTTCCATGTTTTTTGGGACTGCCCGATTATACGACCCTACTGGCGGGATGTAGTGGAGGAAATTAAATAAATAGTAGGCTTTGAGATTAATCATGATTTCTGTACAATTTATCTTGGTAATATCCCCCCCACAATTAATGTTACAGATAAATATTTGGTTAAAATAATGTTAGTAACCAGTAAAAAAGCCATTACAAGAAGATGGCTATCAAAAGAGTCCCTATCAAAAAAGGAGTGGATTGCAATTGTTAAAGAAATATATGACATGGAAAAACTGACTTTTTCCTTGAACATGTGCATGGACAAATTCACTACATACTGGAGGAAATGGACAGCTCATCTTGAACAAATGGCCCCTCTTCACAACAGGATGTTACTTATGTAACTAACTGTTTTGTTTTTTATTTGAGTAAAATGTCCCCTAAAGTCTAATATTCGATGTACTCTCCCGATGCTTATCGTACACCTATATGAAGAGGCCTCTGCCCGGTTTTGATGTGGAGAAAAGATTATGGACAAGTGAAACAAAAAGGACTGAAATGTTCCTAAACCCTGGATCTAGCTCTATCTAAATGTACACGTATTATCATTATGATTCATCTTCCCCCTGCTTATTTTTTCTCGCCCATCTGTGCCCTCTTCTTGTGTTTTGTTCTTTGTTTCTTTGTATATTGTAAAATAAATGACTTGAGAAAAATAAAGTTTAAAAAAAAAATAAAAACTGTGACTGCTGTACAACCAGCAACTTCACACTTCGACATTAGTGGACGACCTGCTCTTCCTCTGAGTCATATCCATACAATATTTATTTTTTAGCACTATTTGTGTTGTTTACAATTTACAGAAACCCTTGAATTGTATATAGACATCCTTGTTTAGCTGTTCATTTATCTTTCTATTGCAACTGTGTGTAACATGGAAAGCAACTTAAAAGCAGGGGCAAATGCCTTGTATGTGTACACACACAAGGCCAATAAAGCTGATTCGGATTCAAATCCTTTTGTAAATACAGACAAATGCACTTTGACTGTTTAGCACAGCAAAAGGGGAAAAAAAACCCAAAACATATGCTAGAGATAAGCCAGTACACCATTATTGGTATCTGTTAAATCAACTAAATCATCTGTGTTAATATAGTACCGTAGGTTGATCAGAAGTTACTTTATTTATTAGTAAACTATTTACTGAAGAGTCTTGCTACAGAAGTCTTGCTATATATATTATCTATATTTATATATTACTATATTACAATGCAGATATTTAGCAACGCTTTTTTAGTTTTGATGTATTTAACTTTGCTAACTTTGTCTCAAAGACCTGGAAAAGAAGGCAAGATAGACTGTTTCATTAGAGACTCAGTCAGGGATTTGGGTCTGTACTATCTATTGATAGTCTTAAAATAGGAATGTGAAAGATGCTTTTCTTGTTTATATATATGTGTGTAAATGTGTATATATAAAAATGTCATTATTCATTCATCATTCAAAAATCATTCATGTCATGTATGGCTTTGTCATGGTTTTATAAGCAGAAAGATAAATCAAACTGAAGATTATACACTGTACCTCAGGGTTACAGGTAGTATTGGCATAGGGGCAGCTCACATCAGGAGACATCACTTTATAGACAGCTTCACCTGATGATGCCAGGTAACTGGTTTCACAGTGCTTGTTAAAGAGAAAGCTAATGAGATAGAAAATCCACTTTCTGTCCTCTGGATACAGAGAGCTAGAGTTTCACAAATAAACAGTTGAACATCTTCAAATGAATCTCTTAGCTCTGAATTACAAACATTTAACATAAAATGTAAATGTGGTTCTCTTTCCATTCTTCCTGTTGAAGGATACACAGCAGTAACTGCCCAGTAGGAGATGAAAACAGTCAGCAAGAGGAAGGTGATGACTGGATAGAATAGCGTGGACATGATGTGGCCAATGGCTCTGCAACAACAGACAAATCGTAAGGCAATGAAAGCAACTATGTATCTGATTTTTATGAGTTTCCATTACTGTCTTTAGGGTCCATACTTGCTGGCCTCTCTGAGCAGGGCGATAGCCACTCGGACTCTTCTCCTTAAGAAGATCAACATCAGCAAGATGGACGCTTCTGTCGCTCCCAGAGACACCACTAGCAAACACAAACAATTCAGTTCAGTTCAATTCAGTTT